CAGAAATCCGAGAATGAACCGCAGGGAAGAATGCCTCATTATCACGCGTGATATAGGGCAGTATATAAAACTGCTTTTCTTATGTGAGGGGCACATTATACTTCCACGTGATTTCTGTGCGGTTGGTCTCTACGTGACATACTTAGTGGAGACCTCATAGAAAGCGGTGAGTGTGCAAAGCTGTGTTCAAAGTGATTGAAATCTTGGTTTGGGGTTTCTTTGTTTGGTTATGGAGGCGTCTGGCCGAGTGAGTTGCTATCAACTTGACCTTTCCAGGCTCTGAAGAAGGCGAAATTCGCTGAAACGTCAGCTTAATCGTGAACAAAGAACAATAACACCTCGCGTTTGCTCAAAAAAAATACGAACAAAATCACTTGATTAATGCCGAGGTTAATAGAAAGTCGGTCGTGACAATACTTAGTTTTCAATCAGATTAGGTATAGAACAGCTTCTTCATACACGCACCGTCCTCCATGAGTCTTCCAAGTATTTCACCTGTAGACCAACCGCACAAATTTCACATGAATGGGCAATTCACCACTTTTACGTTACATGTCAGTCTGATACTGTGTGAATTCACGTGTGATAACAAGGCATTCTTCCCTGCAGTTCGGTTTTGAATTATTAGGATTTACAGTCGAGGGATTTACGCGCTGAAGTTTTCTATTCCTGCGCGAGGATGGTAATTTCTACTTCTTATATGTATCTAGAAAAGTATTTTAGAAAACTTTGTTTCCCGTCTAGATATTCTTGCAAATGGACACATAGTGGTCTACTTCTTTCGCCGATGTATTCATTCCCACACGCTTTATAAGAGATTACCGTAAGCGAACCACACTGTATACCGTACGCGAACTCATGCAATCCTCTCTACCGCTAGCACGGAGTATTCAATTTTGTGTTTCGCATGACGGTCAATAAATGGTTACGAACTACCTGGCGTCTTAGAGTGTTCTATGGCATTTCAATCACTGCTGTCGACTTCTCTAAATGGGCCCTTTCTAAGCAACGTTTTATAGCCGTGCTTATCTCGTTAGAAATGAAGAGCAGAATAAACGGGACCTTACTATCGCAGAATAGACCCCTGGGACGCACCTTTTCGCAACCATTTGAAATAGCTATTTGCCGCGCCGATCTCAGCTTTCTTATGCTCTCTTCCTGTGCACGCAATGGTGGTTATTCGTAGCATGTTTCTCACAAACGCCTTTTTTGTGAATGAAAAGTGGGAAGAAAGGTAATGAACTAGTGCGTTTCTGCTACTTTGGTCTCGGAACCATTTGGTTACGTAGCCTTTTTTCGGAAAAGGAAATTTGAGTGTTCAAAAATGGAATTCAGTTTTTTGACTTCCCCCAGATGAATTTTATGTACTCTGACTGCTCGTTCAATAGCTCAAAACATTTGTCCGTGTTCTCTGATGTAGAGCAGATGACAAAACGATCACCTATATATCTACAGTAGAGTGATGGCTGGAGATCGATTACTGATGGTTCCTCCTTCGAAATGAAGGCAATGCCAAGGGTTGGTTCCAGTCGTTGTTCCATGGCCAACACTCTCATTTGTGCGTCATATTTATGTTTATTGTTCTTTAGTGTTGCATAAGGAATTCGATAATGGACTGAATAGCGAAACTTTGTATAAAGTGCGATAACGCCGAAAGGCACCAACACGTACTCGCTATGAAGACGCTCATTAATTGGTAGAATAACATGGTTTTCAACCCCAATCCTTGCTTAGTTATTGAAACACTTTCTAGCCAGTCTTAGGAATACCCAGATGTTCCTGGGTCGGCTACGTAGCGCGCGTCCTAACACCGCAAATGTGATGCAGTCCTTCAACGTTACCGCACTTTATACAAACGTGTCGAATGACCCCGCTATGGAAGCCATCCTCGAGCTGCTTATACAACACGAAGGAGCAATAGGCACGCATAGATTCTCAATTCAGCAACTCATGGACCTCTTAGAGGAGACGCTCATTAATTGGTAGAAAACATATGTAGTACTGAAAAAAAATCTATGCGTTTACAGCAACGAGAACATTACAGCTGAGAAATACAAAGAAGTCAGCCATTAAACAATTTTTGCGGAGGCCAAATGACGTGACATAATTAGGGAACTACCGTTAAAAGTTAGCATCTAACGATAAAAAGCATAAATAGCACGTAACTTAGCAGTGTTCGACCATATGGGGCTCAATCGCTACACCGCGTCGAATCGTTCCCCATCCAATCAGTCGCTAATGCTTTTCAATACGACGTGATAACGCAATTTTCTCACCGATTTCTGTGCATATGAGATCAGTCAACGCGATTTTGGCTGCTTCACCTTTCACAGCGATAACACGGCAACCAGTAGAGAGTGACCCGATGTTGACCATAAGCATCTCTCCTTTAGTTAATTTTTGAACCTGGGCTGCTTTCTTGTTTGCTTCGGTACGAACTCCTAAGATTCGTCGCAACAAGAAAAAATTGATTTCGATTTCAGTAAAAATATCAGGAAGCGTTCCCACAGCTCCCAATATATGTCCTACTGAACGGTCTCCTCGGCAAAGTGTAGGATCAATCTTTGTACCAACACCAATTAATCCTCCTGGTACAGCATATTCAAGATATGAAACATTGCTTAAGAAGGGCCGGTCTAGAGAACCATCGACTCGGATCATCGGCTCTGAGGAAGACGAAGACGTCGACACGTTAGCCGAAAATAAACATCATTATCAACCTCGTGTAAGCTCATCAAAGAAAGAATACATATTGATTAGTGATACCGAGGTTCAAGGAAAGTCGGTTTCGAAATCTTAGAGGAGCCTCTGAACTGTTTCATCTTCAGACAATTCGGGAAGTGTTTCGCAGAACAGAGAAAGGCGACTGGCGCCTATCCTTCTCTTTGAATATGTGTCTGAAATAGAAGCTCCAGTAATCGATTTTTGGCTACTATCTACTGCTGAATCATAAATGATTGTTTTTTCATCTGCTGCACACAAGAAGAGCTTCAACTTCTGGACATCCAAATTAAGTCCTCTAAAAATGACTACTTCACTAAATGGTACCGAAAGGCAAGTAGCAAAAGCATACTGGTTTATTACCATTCCTCTCACCAATCACTCACAAAAAGGGCACTTGTGAGAAACATGTTTCGGACAGCTACTACTGTCTGCACAGAAAAATAGCAGAGGATCTCTGAAATTGGTGCGAAAAAAAGCTATTTCCAATAGACACGAAACTGTAGCAACCTGGAATAGGTGTAGAGGGAAAACGACGCCTCCAAGCGGTAATGGGGTCCCATTTATTCTGCTCTTCATTTCCAACGAAATAAGTGCATATGAAACATTGCTTAAGAAGGGCTGGTCTAGAGAATTCGGTAAGAATGATTGAATATCACCGAGCACTCTAAGAAGCTAACTAGTCCGTAACCTCCTGTATGACCGTCTATGTACAATGCAGAACTGTATAATTCGCTCCAACGGTAGAGATGGTGCTTGCATGAGTTCAGGTGAGGTTTATCTGATCACTTGCAAAACTTCTAGGTACGAATACATTGGCGAAACGGGTAGGCCACTCTGCGTCGGTATAAAAGAACACCTAGTCGGTAAACTTAAAGTTAAACCAAGTACTCCACTAGGTACGCATAAGACCCAGAGACATAACGGGAAAGATTTTGAAATAAATACTTGCAATAAATACTACCATCCTCGCACAAGAATCGAAAACATCAGTGCGCAAAACTCTGGAGTCATTCTGGATAAATTCGAAAAATCCAAAAGTGAACGGCAGTGAGGAATGCCTCATAATCACAGGAGAGCCCACACATTATCTGAGGCTGATATTTTCTCGAAAGAGTGGCTCATTACCTATCTATGTGGGCGCTGTAGAGTTAATCTCCACGTGAGTGGGAAAGCTCATAGAGGAGGTGAATGTGTGAAAAAGCTCCTCTGTTTCTAATACGATTGGAAATTTGGTGTTTTGACTTTTCAGTTGAGGTTATGGAGGTGCTTAGCTGACTAAGTTGCGATTAAATTGACCTTTCCAGGACTGAAAAAGGCGAAACGTCAGCTTTTATCGATAAAAACATTAGCCATGACCTCGTGTGTGCTTACCAAGACAATATTAAAGTATTTCTCGATGCTGAGTCTAATAGAAAGTCGGTCTTCGGAATAAGGAAGATAGTAAGAGCTCTAAAGCTCTGGGTGTTGATCAATGGTCGATGGATGCGTCATGCATTCTACTTCTTAAAGCATCGTTGAGGGTGACTGAATGCATATCTGGCCTTTACAATAACTTGCGGTGACCTACCGATGTATCGAGCCAGTGCTGCCATCCTCCTAGACATGACTGGTATAAGGAAGATTCTAAACACCCATCTTATTTTCGCTATATTTTGACCATGTCTTTTCATTTTCTTTCCGAATATTTATGCTTAAGAAGTAGGTACAAATAAGTTATCACTTTGAACTAGTACACCAACTGGAATGGATTGTGTTGTGTCTACTACTTGAAGATAACGGCAGCAATGGCAACATTGCCGGGAGAACAGTGAAAATATGAGATTCCTCACCGTAACTCTTTTGCCAGTATTGCCAAGTCCGGCCAACAGACTAAATTTCACACTGTGCAGACGTCCTCCATTCGATGTAACTAACGACGAGCTCGGATAACAGTAAGATAATGGTCCAGCATGAAGGGCACGTAGCGGAGAACGTGAGAACACACATTGCTCGCCTGAAAATTGTTCACTGCTTGGGTGCAGTTTGGATAGCTGTATTTGAATTTCAATGGAAAAAACCATAGCGATAAAGGATCAAGGATGAAGGATTCGGCGTTGATCATTCCCTGACTGATAAACCATGCGTATAAACAAACTCGTCAAGCATTATAAGAGTGACTGAATGCGCATTTCTCCCACACAATGCATTGAGGAGACCTACCGATGTACCCACGAATCTCCCTCACATGAGGGATCTCGAGCAGGTTAGGCGCGAGGTTACGTGGCGCGTTCCCAGGTGGTGGATTGTGTGTTAGTCGCGGACCAAAAGCGACCTTTGCTTCCCTGAGACGCAGGTGGATCCAGTGGATGGACTCCTGTTTCTGCTGCGCTGATTTAGCACGTACTTTCTGTAACTGTTAGGCGTATTCATGTATGCGTGTGTGGACAAACAGGCTCCATGTGCACTCTGGGAGAGCCTGAAAAGCTATCCGTGAGTATACTAAGCCCCCACGTTCAGAGCCTATACATGGGTATCAAAATGGTAAACACAGTAAAAAAAAACGGGTCTCATTCTCCTGATCCCGAAAGAGCCCCCAATTTCGCAGCGTTGGATAGGACGAGTACGGAGAGGCTGCTAAAATCTTAGGACCAATGGAAGCCGCCTGGATCATGAAGAACAAAGGTGACGATCTGTACCTACAATGCACGTACACTTGCATGCGAGTTCTCGATAGAAGACTTGCTCATGCAAGCAAGAAGGATAAAGTACGACGTCATGGACCTGACCGAGACGAAGAGACGCCAGCCTTTCAACACCGTATGTGACACCGGAGAAGAACTGCTCCTCGAAACATGCGACAGTAGAGGAGTCGGCGGCATCGGCGTTCTCGTCAACACGGGTTTGTCCAAGAACATTGATTCATCCGAACAGCTTACAACCGGAATCGGACGTTTACGATTAAAAAGATGTGGACCAATATTGGCTCTGATAATCTTCGTCGTTTACGCGCCGACATCAAACTATGACGAAGAAGAAGTCGAAGCGTTCTATATGGATTTGGAGAAGTTCCACAGAGAAGACCACACATTCTTCAAGGTCATCATTGGAGATTTCAACGCCAAGATTGGACCAAGAAGAACGTCTGAAGAACGACACATTGGGGCCCACGGATTAGAATGGAACGAGCAGGGTGAGCGGTTGTCTGAGTTTATCATGGCGACCAAGACCATCCATGGTAACACGCAATTCCAGAAGCCCCACCCTCAACGCTGGACGTGGGAATCTCCCAATGGAGAGTACCATAACGAAACAGACCACATTATAGTAAGTAGAAGGTTTTGCCTAACCGATGTCGCTGTTGTCCCAAAATTCTACCTGGGTTCAGACCACCGTCTCCTTCGTGCAACACTCTATTTCTCGCGGAAAGGAGGAAAAGCCGCAGTCCCGGAACCACCGTAAACTGGGTCTTATTCAATTCATTAATCGGCTGTTGGGAAGATGCCGTTGTCGATAACATCGACGGGAATACGATCGTCTCATTCAACACCTTCACGTTAGCGTTATAAAAGCTGAGAGTTCAAAAGTCGCCAAGAGACGTTTGTCTCCAGAAACACTTGAGCTGTTACGACAGCGCGGAATCACACGAGCTGCAGGCAACCGCGAACTAATGTCCGAACTTCTAAACAATGCAGACAGGCGATAAAAAAAGATCCTAAAGAGAGAAGAGCAGCAGTAATGGTCGAAGCTGCAGAGGCTTGGAAAAGCATTCGCAAAGCCCCACAGAAGCTTTGCCAGTTGCAAGAACAAAATGATTGCTCTCCGACGCCCAGACGGAACAGTAGCAGCGTCCAAAAAGGCAATAGAGAAAATCGTTCACGAATGCTATTCGGATCTCTTCGATAGCCACGTCCATCTTCCGTCATATGAAATAAGAGAATGGGTACGTTGCACCATCCGTTCTCGCCTCCGTAATCCGACACTCCATTTCGTCGTGGAAAAATCGAGCAGCACCAGATCCGGACAGGATAAGACCACAACACCTGAGGAACCTTCCGACAGTCCTCGTACACACACTGGCTCGGCTCTTCACACGTTATCAGTCTGAATGCAAGGTCCCTACTCAGTGCAAGACCAGCAAGACCATGTTATTGTTCAAGAAGGGTGACTTACACGATATAGGCAACTACCGGCCAATCTGCTTGCTGTCTGTCGTCTATAAACTTTTCACTTGAGTCATCCTAAACACAATTGACAAAACACTGGACGAAGGACAGCCATATGAGCAAGCAGGGTTTCGAAAAGGATTTATTACAAATCACATCCACACGATAACATGGCCCATTGAAGTATCGCGAGAGTACAAAAAAACTGCTTTGTCTCACTTTCTTCGATTTACAAAAGGCCTTCGATTCAATTGAGATGGAAGCAGTCATAGAAGCCCTTGATAGTCGAGGAGCCCCCACTCGGTACACAAAGATTCTTCGTTAGCTGTACAAAAATTCCACAGTCAAGATATCACCATTCTACAACGATATTAACATAGACGTCAAAAGAGGAGTTAGGCAGGGCGATACCATCTCGCCAAAATTATTTACAGCCATCCACCAAAATGTCATGCGAACATTGGAATGGGATAACATGGGAGTGAAAATCGACGGTCGGCAGTTACACCATCCTCGCTTTGCTGATGACATCGTCCTTATAACACCAAACATTAGTCAGGCGGAACGTATGCTAGACGACTTTGATAAAGCCTGTGGAAAGATTGGTCTTCGACAAATTCTCACAAAAACACGATGTTCATGAAGAATGGATTGGTTTCGCATGCCCCATTCACACTCAACAGAACGAATATCCCCGAATGCTCCAGTTATATCTATCTATGTCGGTAAATCAATATGATGAACGACTTAGCTCCAGCGCTGTGCAGAAGGAAACGAGCAGCCTGGGTAGCTTTC